TCATCGGTGCTGCGGCTGAGCGACCTCTCTCCTTCGTCATTCTGTGCTGGTCCAAAAGCGCGCTTATGACCCTTCTGCCAGAAGATGTCGGCAAAAGTCTCGTTCAATTTCACCATCCTCGTTGCCAACTTGAGATTAGGCTCATTCCTGAAAATTTCGTCCCTCATATAATGTCCGTCCAGGGCCGATAAGGTGATCATCTGAAATTTTGAAGCCAGTTTGCTCAAATACAACCTCTGTGATGTATGATCAGGTCTTGAGGGTCCCATCTTATGTAGTATTTCATTTTTCTGACAGAGTCGCTTTTTGACCTCAGATTTGACCTGTGGAAATTCTTCTTTGGAAATATCCATAAGGAGCTCTCGCAGACAAACTCTCAAGGGGTCAATACCGCATCGGTTCTGAACAGTCACCCAAGCGGGATCCGTGAAAAAGACCTTCTCCTCGTCTAGACGTGCTGAAATCGTGGAAACATTGTCATCTGCGCCTCGATTCTTGACTACGAAATAGCCGAGCTTCAGGAAGTCGTGCTTTCCATTGACCAGTTCAATGACGGCCTCCTGAGTGGTCTTCTCGAAAGCGAGATCCGGTTTGGTCAGGACACCCATGGTCCTAATTCCGTCTGGGTCGGCCGTCTTGGCAAGCTTGATGACCTCTTGGGTCTGAATGTCCACGTTACAGGGCAAGACTGCAAGAATGCTGCAGGCCATTTCAGTAAGATGTCTGCAGCTAAAATTCAGGCGAAGTGGCTTACATAGTTCTGCGATTATCCATGTACGCCTTCACCATACTCTGGACCATCATGGCATCGTTTTCAGTGGTAAAACCTTGTGACAAGTTCAGTCCGTAGTTATGCACCCTGAGTCTGCGCATAAAATCTCACCTGGGGTTGGAACACGAAATATACCGGGAACATCGATGACTGTGAGATGATTTTGCTAGCAACCGATTAGCCCTGTAATAAGAGCTCAAGTTGAGCACTTACATCAGGCCCGCATATTTCGATCTTTAGGATGTCTTCGCTAAACGCGATCAGGTCATTGCCATTATCCCCTTTACTCTTGCGAATGCCCATCGCGAGGTCAGCCTCTTGGAAGGTCTGAGCGAGCTTGTCTTGATCAAGTTCTGCATTGAATCGGTGTCCGAAGTGGCGAAGTCGCTTTTTCAGATTCTCATCAGCATTGGGCCGCGGAATTATTGAAATGGACACGCTCTGCTGAGGCGCTCGGTAACATGTAATCTGTGTCGCATAGCGCGTGCAAAGCCCAGCAGCTCGCGGGAAATTGAAGCCAGTCAG